CAACACAGCAACACCCTCCTTAGGGGGCCCATCAACCACCCTCGCCATCCCTGCTACCAGAACTCGCTTGACACCAGGCTCTGTGGAGGCCTGCTCCATGAGCCCCTCCCTGGAAGGGAGGCAGCCCCAGAGGAGCCTACAGCCACAGTGATCCCGAAGGGCAGGGCTGCTTGGCAGCTGGCCTCAGCCATTGCGTCCTGTATGCCCCTCTGCCCCAAGGTGTCCCCAGGTGCAGGGGACCGCCCAGCCAAGGGGTGCAGAGCACTGGGGCCACAGGTGGCTTGGGGCAGGAGGGGTCGCTGGTGGCTGCTGGGCAGACAAGTGCCTCCAGCAGATGGACGCGGCAGGGTGGGCTGGGACATGCCCCCCTCACCTGCTGGGTCAGGAAGAGCTCCAGCTTGCCATCCTGCACCACGTAGATGCTGGTGTCGGGCTGGCCGGGCCGGAAGACGTACTCGCCCTGTTGGAACTGCTGGAAGATCATGTGCTTACAGAGCTCCAGGAACAGCGGCTTCTCAAAATGGCCCAGCACCCTGCAAGGAAGGGCGGGTCACAGTGGGCAGCAGGGGAGCAAAGCCTTCAGCAACTCATGGCAGGGACTTGGGGCTCATGTCATGAAGGGGCCTTGGGGCCCAGCCAAAGTTCCTGCATCACATGGGCCAGAGCTGGCTGGCTAGGTGGGCTCTGTCAGTCATCCCCCCACCCCCCATCTCCATGCATGGGGGAGTGGAAGTTGCCCCAGAGGGTCAAGCCTCCAGTGACACTACCCTGCTCCAGGATCCCAGTGCCCACAAGCTATCACCCCTAGGGGCAGAGATCTCTTCCGATCCCCAAACACAGCCACTTCTGGGGAAGAGTCTGTCTGATGCAATAGCCCCACAGCAACACTGCCGTGACTCAGCCAGGACTAACGCTGTGCTGGGTCCCACCACGAGCCCGCAAGGACCAGCGCCCAGCATTTGCTCACACCCGACAGAGGCTGCCTCCAGCTGCCCTGCCCCGTGGAGCACTAGCTCTGTATCAG